ATGTATCTCCCAGTGAGCCCAGAGGGACGGCTCGGGGCATAAAGATGACATCCCCGTCCCTGGTACTTCCTCTTATTAATATTGGTGGGTCGGGATATAACCAGGAATCCTTGTGTGTACGTGTGTGTGTGTGTGTTGGACCTCCTTTTGTGGGCCTTCCACACACACACACACACACACACGACCTTTGGGAGGGATCTGAACCGTGAAGACAAACAATAAGTAATAACCGATAATGGAAAAGACACAGACACAGACATAAATATAGATTAAGACAAAGGCAAGAATAGAGAGAGCTGACCAGACAGACAAACAGACAGATTGAAAAAAGACAGGTAAACAGACAGACAGACACACACACGGGACAAGGTTGGAGTACTTACAACAACAAGATTGTGACGTCATGGAGCCAACCAGGGGAGGATGTGGGAGGAGGAGCAGGAGGAGGAGGAGGTCGAAGAGTCAGGGGCGAGGGGAGAATAGAGAAGAGAGAGAAATGGGGAGAGAAAGAGATATATTGAGATCGGGGAGAACAGGTAGTGGAGAGGGGAGATAAAACGTGGAGTGGGAGGGAAGTGGGGAGATAAAATGTAGAGTGGGGGGGGGAGAAAGAGAGTGATGTAGGGTGGTATTTTAATGAACGGGGAGAAGAGAGGGGGAAGCAAGTGGGAGGAGGGAGTGAGACGTAAAGAAGGTGAAGGAATAAATTAAATGATTGAAGGTAGGAATGAGGTGAGAGAGAGAGAGAGAGAGAGAGAGAGAGAGACTTGTACAGTATACATAGTGATAGATGTAATGCATAGATAGATAAATAGAGCCTTAGGGATGCATCATATATCAACAATAGACTAATTGCATTTAATAGATGGTTAGTTGAGTATCCATACACTGGGATGTGTATTAATGTATTTGTGTATATTTCACCATATAGGACCCCCCCCCCACATACCTATATATATATACTGTATATCAATATCTTCCATAAAATCATTTTTTTTAGGTACAACTAATATAAATTATGTATAAACAATAGGATATATATTGGTATATTTCTGGTATTGTACATAATATTTTTTTTTAAAAGAATCTTATATAATTTTTGTCTTATAATCTATTTTTTTAAGAGTATAATCATAATGTGGTGCTATAATTACTATAATCCCGTTTCCCCCCTTTTGTCTTGACACCAAATGTTCCACCACCTCCTCTTGGTTCAATGTTAACAACCATCATTTGTGCCGCCGTAGCTAAGTCCTCCACAACAGTCGCCAAGATCAAGGGTAAACCCATCACCACCGTAGTCTGTCCCCCAACCCCCCCTCAACCCCACCACCTCACTTAACCTCTACAACCACCATAAACCTACAACCATCACTACCACCACCCACCACTAACCGCCCTTGCATCAAACACCACCTATCACCACCACCACCACCCATGTTTTGATCGATTCATTTCGTTTGTTATTATATACCTATTACCACTTATTTATTCCCAAAATGCCAAAAAAAAAAAAATAATATACATATATATAATTCTCGTTTTGTATATTTTTAAGTGCTAGTTTTATCAATTATGTATATGTATGAATTAGCTGCCAGATATACATACAGTTGCACGGGTCTGATTATATACATGTGTAGCGCATTCATATCTTCTGTTAAGGCTTCTAGTAAAACTGTTCTTGTCTAGTAAATAATTTTTCCTACAACAGTTTTCTAGTTATAAAGTTGATTGTATTTATCTTAAGTATATAACAGTTGAATTAAACTATACTATAAAGCATAATTTTTAAACTTAATTTAAAATGTTTCAAAATATTTTTCAATAGAGAAATTTAGATATGGTAATTTTGCCAAGCCATAGTATACCAGTCTGTTATCTTACCCAACATACACAGTTATACTCCAGCCTATAGCAGACATGAACGCAACCACTGATATACCCAACTAATATTAACCTGTAATTCTGTTTTGATTATTCACTGGCTGGATAATCTCGTAGGATAATTAGTAGTTAGTTATTAAGTAGTGAAAAAATGAACTGAGGAAGGTGGATTTGTTGGTCTGTGGGGCTCTGATCTTATACACACACAGGTAGACGAGGTATTAAACACGGGTGATTGAAACGTCGTTGTGCGTCTGGTCTATTTTTACTAGATATTGGTAATAGTCACAGAACATAATGGATATATAATAATGCAGGTGTAACAAGGAATAATTATATAGTAAAAATTATCACAGGTGCACAGAGAGTTTTCGATCACTATACACGCTGTTTTCGTGGCGTCAACTGAGCGTGAAAGAAGCTCCCCAGACCATCAAATGCTCTGTATCAAGAACTGACCCTCGTTCATAGTGACTGATATATCTTGCTTTATTTTTTCTAGTAGTATTTAGATAGTTCTGGGCTCTTGATGAAGAATGTCCGGGAGTTCTGAAGTGTTACTGAGAATCATTGGGTTCTTATAACTCAAAGGTCTTCCTCGTACAGTACTTGGAAATTAAATTGTTTTATAGAAGTACTGAAGACACGAAATATGCTTTGATAATTAAATCGTATTAATACTTGTAGGATCTTATGACTTTAAGAAAATTAAGATAAATTTGAAGGTTTTAGCATTTGAAAGATTATAGAGGTGATGTTATACTGTATTGCTACGCCTCAGCAGCTAAAGTCTTGAAGTGCCAAGCCGAGCGTACTGTAGTTAAAAAATCAAGATCTATAAATGGTTTTGTGACCAAACTATATTGAAAAATATATTATAAGTTAGTGATTAGTTAACGATCTATTTGCAAGATTAATTTATACTCATTTTCAAAGTTATTAAATTTCAATCTCAAAGTATATACACTGCAAGGATCCGTTGGTTCTGAGTACTTCAGGCTTCAAGACCTCCCGGCCACCTCTTCTGCAGGAACAACTCGCGCCCACTGTTTGCTTATAATTTATTCTTTTGTAGCTAAAAATAATTTCGACAACCATGAATAATAATTACTCTAAGAACTGAGATATAATTATGGCACAAGTTAATTATATGGGAATTATCTGCGATCTCATCACCCTTAGAAGTTTCAATAATACTTTTTTCATAAGATTTAAAAAAAATATGTATAATTTCTAAGTAATTATAATGTGACTAATTAAAACGAACGAATTAAATAATGCAAGTTTCAGTATTTTCTATAATATTTACTTCTTTAAATAGTTCAAAATGATAATAATAAAATGCACTGTGGATACTTAATACATATAAATATAGTGTTTATACATGGTTGTTGATCTCTCTAACTTGCTTTTAGTTTTCATCCATACCAAAAACAAAATTAAACTCAGTATAATGCTTAAAATTTGTCCTTTTTGATGAAATCCATTGCATAATAATTTATATTTTGATTAAATAATTTTTATGATATATATATAGTGTATATATAAATAGTTGCCGAATGTTCTTTTTTTTACATATATGACCACTAGATATACAGCATTGTTTGTTTACGTTCTGTGCTGCGTAATGTAGTGTCTCTTTTGGATTGGACTGATAGCCACCATGATTTATATATACTTTCATTCAATAATTTTGTTGTGATATTATATATATAAATAATTGCCGTTTATTATATTTTTTACATATGTAACCCTTTTAGATATACAGCATTGTTTGTTTATGTTCTGTGCTGCGTAGTGAAACCCCCCGGGGGAAGGAGGGGTAAGGTTAACAACAACTAACAGCCCTGTTCACGCCGGCCGTTACTCTTGGCTTGTTCTCTACCCTCTTGACCAACTGTTTATAGCTGTTGCTTCGTCAACCGTCCAGTCATCGTTGTTGTGGGCTCTCTCTCTCTCTCTCTGTCTACTCATTTTCACAGTCTAATTTCCCTCCTCCTCTCAACCTTATCCTCCAGTTCTCTCTCCTCCTCACTTCTCATCTCAGCATATCTCTTTCATTTCCCTCGTTCTCTCACCGTTGTTCTCCATTATCTCTCCTTCTCTTGTATTGTAACTGCTTCATCTGTGCCTGTGCACTGTACTGTATAAGCAACGCCCATTTTTTCTGGTGCTGGGCGGTGACAGTTCTGAACCTTCATCTAAGAGAGACGTTATGTGCGGACGGTGACTTCAAGTGGCGGACTAATTTCAATCTGTTTCCTGTAAAGTCTTAAGATTTTATTTTTTTAGTTTTTTCATTTATTTTCTGGTGTTTTCTTTTATTTTATCACAGTGGAGAATACTAATGGATTTTCTCTATTTGCATATTTTTTAATTCTTTTTAAAGAATTGAAAGAAATTTGAGGTTAAATTTATTTCCAGTAAAGTGTCAGGAATTTGTTAAAAGCCTAATTTATCTTCATTAGAAACAAGTGTCTGTTACTCCCTTTGACGATAAGTTTAGTATTTTGTATTTATATGAATGCTTTAAAAGAAACAGTACTGTTTTTCCAAGTCATAAATAACTAATAGCTAAACAAAAGCAACGTTTCAGCATTATTAATATTATGAAATTAGTCTCGGCACTGGGTCACTTTAGGCTAGTTTACCCCGCCCAGCCAGCAGAGCGCCTGAAGGGGGAAACAAGCCTAAAAATAATAATTAACTGCTCGCATATTTCGTCTCTTGTGCTGACATTATGCGGACTGTATTCATTTCTTCTTCATATGCGCCACACAATTCACCTTCCTGGATTGCTTCTTATTCACTGTTTTATTTTAATGGCTGCATTTATATATTAATTATTTTTTTTGGTCGTTATTTATTTATATTGTGTTATTCTTATTATTCATTATTATTATCACTCCACATTAGTGTGTACTCTCCGAGCCTTTACACGTTGTAAGTCTTGTTTCTCCTGGTCTCCTCTCCTCCTCCTCCACTCCTCGACCCTCTGTAACTCACACACCCTGCTGGTTTGATTTCTCTACTTTTATTCTTACACTATAATATACAGCTGCGAGTGTCCCCCCTTCGTGTGAACAAAGTACAGTACTGTATTGACTCAGGCATGGTGTTAGTCTTTTTTGTCTTCTTTATTTCAGACTTTTTCTTCTATCGTATAATATATTTAAGGATAACTAAGTGTGTGTGTGTTCGTGTGTTTGTTCTCACAGTTCAGATTATTGTTATACTCTGGGTAACTTATTTTTTTGTAAAGTAAGATGCTTTTTTTAGATCATTGTTAAGGTCATGTTGTTGTAGTTGTGAATAACATTATTAAAAAAATGTTTACCACGCCTAAAACTACTTTTTTGTCTAGTGTCATGTTGAAGCATCAGTTAATTTTTTTATATTTCAAGTCAACCTATTGCTCTACTCACCCCTAATAGGCCAGAAGGTATAATAAATAAATAAAAAAAATATTAATAAAATCTACATAAACAAGTAGGTGTAGGCCTGACTAGGTTGGTCATCCAACCACCCTCTCACGAATCGTAATGACCCAGCTGCCTCTACCGCCAGGCCTACCAACCCCACTGAGAAGTCCCCGGGCCTCACCTAGAACCTCCCCACAAGCATCCCCAGCCGCCTCCCCTAAGCAATCCCCAGTCACCTCCCCCAGGACGCAGCAGAAGCAGATCGGGACGCAGGGGTGCGCCCACAGGTGTGTCCACGGCTACCTGTGTGGGCGGGTGTCGCTGCTACACGTGTCGGTGGTGTGTGTCTTGCTGGGCATCACGCTGCTGGTGGTGGGCCTCGTGCAGCTGGCACCCGGAGCTGGTAAGATACCTTATTTATCTACTTCCTTCCTCGACACAATAATTCTCGGTAAGATAAAATATTCTCGTTAAGCTACGATAATTCTCGTTAAGCTACAATAATTCTCGTTAAGCTACGATAATTATCGTTAAGCTACGATAATTCTCGTTAAGCTACGATAATTCTCGGTAAGCTACGATAATTCTCGGTAAGCTACGATAATTCTCGTTAAGCTACGATAATTATCGGTAAGCTACGATAATTCTCGATAAGCTACGATAATTCTCATTAAGCTACGATAATTCTCGTTAAGCTACGATAATTCTCGTTAAGCTACGATAATTCTCGTTAAGCTACGATAATTCTCGTTAAGCTACGATAATTCTCGGTAAGCTACGATAATTCTCGTTAAGCTACGATAATTCTCGGTAAGAATTTGGTCATCTTATTTTTTATGATAGTTTCTTCTCTTTGATATATGATAATTATCCTTCATGTTAAGATGGGATATTTTGTTATGATAATCATTATAATCTTGTTATGGTCCGCTGTTCTTGTTAAGGAACAATAAACTAATTTTCTCCGCTTTGGAAATGTTTTTTTAAAGCTTTTTTGGTGCATTTACAAAGGCATTTACGCTCACGAGAATGGTGCTTGCATGTTGCGGGTGAGGCAAGTATACATTCATGTAGGTGTAGCTGTGGGTGTAGGTGTGGGACTGTGGGTGTAGGTGTTGGTCTGTGGGTGTAGGTGTGGGTGGATGTAGGTGTGTAGCTGGGTGTAGGTGTTGGTCTGTGGGTGTAGGTGTTGGTCTGTGGGTGTAGGTGTGGGACTGTGGGTGTAGGTGTGGGTCTGTGGGTGTAGGTGTGGGACTGTGGGTGTAGGTGTGTAGCTGTGGGTGTAGGTGTTGGTCTGTGGGTGTAGGTGTTGGTCTGTGGGTGTAGGTGTGGAACTGTGGGTGAGGTGTTGGTCTGTGGGTGTAGGTGGGTCTGTGGGGGGTGGAGGTTGTGGGTGGTGGCTGGAGGTGGGTCTGTGTAGGTGACTGTGGGAGGTGTGGGCTGGGTGTGGTGGGACTGTGTGTAGGTGTTGTCTGTGGGTGGTGGGAACTGGGTGTAGGTGTTGGTCTGTGGGTGTAGGTGTTGGTCTGTGGTGTGGTGTGTAGCTGTGGTGTAGGTGTTGGTCTGTGGGTGTAGGTGTGGGTCTGTGGGTGTAGGTGTGGGTCTGTGGGTGTAGGTGTGGGACTGTGGGTGTAGGTGCGGCTTTAAGTGTAGGTACGGGTGTAGGTGTCCGCACAGTGTAGCCAAAAACCCAATCACCTGCGAGTAACTGTATAGAATGGGTGTAGGTGGCGCTGTGATTGGTCCATTTTTTTACGTCATCTGGTATGTAAGCAATGATTGGCTAACTCGATGACGTAAGAGACAGGTAATAAATAACACCTCATCACTACAACAATCCCACACTATCACCTAACTTTAAATTGATCAATAAATAAATAAATCCGTGGTGTTTCAACCCCAGTTACACCCTGTTACTGAGTATAGTGAGTCTGTCAACCAATCAACTCTTAGATGACGTGTTACATTGGACCAATCAGAGAGAGGCTTATATCATACTGTTAGCCACACGTACTCGAAGACTGTTATTTTTTCACCATGTATAATAGTTAATTTTTTCTCATTAATTCAGGTATAATTATATATTAAAATTATTCCTAAGATATTAACCCCAGACTTGTGATGCATAAGAGAATTTAAAAGCACAATTACACTAAGTTTATGTGTATGGGGGGGGGGGGGGTTATGGAGCCTTAAAATCACCCCTACACGCTGGGTCAGACAAGCGTTAATAACCAATCATTTTCTAAAAGTAAATCTCTAATTAGTTTTATTTTTCTCCACTCAGGTGTTATTGAAGAGAATGATATTATAGTTAAAGGTTAAACAGCCCACACAGGTATTAAAAGTTTGTATTTATAGAAGTTCTCCGTAAGGCAGCAGATTCTTACAGTAATTGGTGTTAAATGTTAAAACCACGATCGAGAAGCCAAATTATTGTCCATGATAATATAAACCTTCTCTCAGTTCTCTCGTCTCTCATTTCTTCACCGTGTGGGTATTAAGTATATATATTAATGTTATAATCCTCCTCATCCAGTGTCGTAACTCGCCTCTAGCGCACCGCCAGTACCTGTGTCGTCTCCACCACACAACACAATTATAAATTATTACTATCAGTAGAGCCTCAAGTATTGTGTTGATGGAGATTTGGTTAAAAATATTTCTCTGATGCCTGAACACTCGCGGTACACACGTTGTATATAGACGAGATATATAATGGATAATCTCTCATACGTTAGCATTGGTGTAGAGGAAGAACACTTATCTAACAGTGTTTAGACAGAGTTCAAATCCTTGACGGGAATAAATCATATAATATATAAATACCAGGTAATTATGTATATTCATGAGAACGTATATTTTTTCAGAGGCTTTTCACTAACTCTCAAAGAATAGTCCTCAAAATAATGTGTTTTTAGGGCCTTGTGCAGTACGATATGTTTTCCAATATATAACGTTACCCATGAGCTGTCAACCAGAGGGTCTATGGGGACGACACCTTGTTTTATATGAAGCTCTGTGTGTTCCTGTCCATTTAGAACTATAATTTAAGTGTTGATGGACCCTATGACTCACCCCCTTTAATGTATTATACAAGATCAGTAATTCTCTGTCTTCACTGTGTTACCACTACTCACCTGGCCAGGCTCTTAATTATTGTTTGCGAGAGTGCCAGGTGTATCGCAGCCTGTGTACCTGATGATTTATTTTTGTTTATTAGTAAATATGAACTAACTAGACCTAACCTAACTTAAGCTAGCCAAACCTAACCTCACCTAAGCTATCCTAAACAAACCTAATACCCATCCTAACCAAATCAACCTAATTGAACCTAATCTAACCTAACTTAATCTATCCTAACCAAAGCTAGCTTAACATGACGAACCAGACCAAACCAAACTTAACTTAATCTACCCTAACTAAACCTAATCTATCCTAACCTATCCTATCTTAACCTAACTCCTAACCTAACCTTCCTGAATTAGGTTAGGTTAGGTTAGGTTTATATTCAATACCATGTGGTTAGGTTAGGTTAGGTTTATATTCAATACCATGTGGTTATTTTCATCATATTGGCCCAGTGAGTGTTTGGTTGATTCAGTACACAGGCTGGAGGACACACACACACACACACACACACACACACACACACACACACACACACACACACACACACATACATACATACACACATACATCTCTCTGGCAAAAGTAAACAGAAAACTTGGAGCTGAATGTGTAGACACTATTTAATATTTGATGTCAATCTCCGCAGCCAATTTAACTTGACGTTTGTATCTCTGTCACCCGTCTCTGTCTGTCTGTCTCATTTTCGCGCCATAAAAGAACTTCATTTAAAGACAGTGAGGCGCGCAGTGATTCGTCAGGCGCTGCTGACTGCTCTTGCTGGTGTTGTTTTCCTTTTATGGTGTGGGCGTGAGGGAGAGGATTGACTGCCTGCTGGGGTAATGGTGTTTGTGTGTCCCTCCATATTGTCTCCTTCACCGCTTAAACTTATTATCTCATTACTGAACCTATTGAGATGGTTTTGTGCCTGTCTATTTGTCTGTCTATCTTTTTGTTGTAAATATTGCCTTATTATTCCATATGTAACGATCATGGCTGTACAGTATATACACTTCATTCTGACCTTTGAGACGGTCGTTTATTTGTCTGACTATCTATATATTTATATATGTCTTTCTCTCTCACCTGCCCGTCTGGCTGTAGCAAAAATTATTCCATGACTATACCGTCTTACAGCAGCAAGCAAACAACTCACTTCTTTTAACGACCTTTGAGACGGTCGTGTTTGTTTGTTTGTCTGTCTGTTGTCTCACCTAATGTTTCATCTTTTATTTCTCTAGCAAATGTTCTTCATGATTATTCCATCTACAGCGACCGTGACTGACCTGGGGTTCCCTGCAGGCTCGGAGGTCAACAAGTACGCCATCATCGCCGCTGGCACGGGGTTCTTGGGTCTCGGGTTCCTCCTACTCATCATCCTGTGTGCCTGCCAGAAAAACACACACAGGCGGCGACGTCCCCCTCCACATCTTGTTCAGGTAGGTCCTCTTCCTCTCTCCTTCATCACTCTTCCTCCCTCCTCTTCTCTCCTTCATCCCTCTTCCTCCCTCCTCCTCTCTCCATCCCTCTTCCTCCCTCCTCTTCTCTCCTTCATCCCTCTTTCCCCCTTCTCCTCCTATATCTTACACAAGTAGGTCCTCCTTCCTTACTCACACAGGTAGGTCCTCACTCTCTCATACCTCCACAACCCTTCCTCTCCTCATTACCCCTTCACATTATCTCTCATCCCTTCATTTATTCCCTTTACTCCTCTGCCCTCCCTCCATCACCACCTTCCCTCCAACACTACCCTCCACCTCTCCTCCCCCAGATAAACAGAACTCTCAAAATCACCATCAATTATAACTCTTTTGAATGGTCGCTTATCTTTGCTTTATGTAATTAAAAAAAGAGTGAATCTGTACTAAGAATATCTCGAACAGTTTGTACAGTAGTTGTATATTCGTAAAGTCGTGCACTGTGCGTGTGTTGTACGCATTGCTGGAATCTACGCTCCCGTGTATATTTTGTTTTAGAGTATTTTCCAAAACTTCCTTTGGTCAGTAACTTAAACCAAAATAGAATAAGGTTGATCAATTTGGTTAGGTTAAGTTAGGTGAATAATATTAAACCTATATGGTTCTGAAATCGCGCAGGTGCATGTGAGCGATATTATTGATGTTTTATAATGGCGCAGGATTCCAACAACGCGTAGAATTGAACCATAATCCTCCCATGCTATTCTTCCCCTCCTCCTCCTCCTCCTCCTCCTCCTCCTCGTCCCCTCCCTCCCTACAGTCCCCTACTCGTGCCTCTTAACGTAATTTGTTTTTATCTGTTTTCAGTTCACAGGAAGAATTTAACATCCAGGTTATTTATGAGAGCTTCCGGGACCACCTGGAGATTAAATACCCCAGCTTATTTCACCTTAAGTTTAACCGCAGTAACCTAACCTAACCTAACCTTAACCTACCCTACCCTTATCTAATCTAACCTAACCTTAACCTACCCTACCCTTATCTAATCTAACCTAACCTTAACCTACCCTACCCTTATCTAATCTAACCTAACCTTAACCTACCCTACCCTTATCTAATAATCTAAGCTAACCTAACCTTAACCTACCCTACCCTTATCTAATCTAAGCTAACCTAACCTTAACCTACCCTACCCTTATCTAATCTAACCTAACCTAAACCTTGGCCTAACCTCACCTAAGCCTCCAGGTAGCGTTAAGGTGTTTAATCATCAGGTGAAATAAACTTGGCTGAGGGTAATAAATTATCTTCAGGTGACCCAAACGCTGGTAGGTCCTCATACCGTCACTCAGGTGTGGTTTGTCCTTGTCATCTGCCCCTCACCTGCCGCTCACCTCACCTCACCCTCCCAACCCCTTACCTCACCTCACCCTCCCTCCCTCACTTCTGCCTGTCATTCTTTCACTCCCTTTCTCTCAGCTCGGCATGATACCCTTCCTTTTCCCTCCACCTCTTCCTCACAGCCTCTCACTACTTCTCACTGTTTCTCACTACCACTCACTTTCTACCTGAAGATCTCTCGCTCTCCCTCACCCCCCACTCATAACTAACCACCCTCCCTCCCTCCTTCCCTACACCGCAGTAACCCCTATAGAACACAAACATTACGATATTGTGTAGCATTCATACGTGACCGAAATATTTAAAAAACAAAAACAAACTCCTACAATTAATTATTTTCAACTTAGTCGTAAATATTTTTTATGGAGGATGAATTAAATATTGTCTTAAGATTTACCAAACTATAGTACCGTCAAGTTATAAACGACACCAATATAATATTCCCATTGTTTATGTTATGAGTCCTGATGCACTTGAAAATTGATGGCTTGATGGTCAATTTTATTAATGTTTATACGTTAGATAGATTAATATTATTCAACTTTAAGAATATAATAAGTTGAATTTATTTACTTTCATCTATGTTCTATAATACACCCAAGTTATTTTTGGTTACGTTCGTGATTAATTCGAAATTATTTAACTACATCCCTCATAACCCCAGATTATTCATGGATACGTTCAAAGTTTACTAAAAATTCCTTATATACAGATCTTATAAACCTACTAAAAATTATTGAAATACGACCCTCGCAAACGCAAATTATTTAAGTTTCCGCTTCATATATTCCTCATTTTCTGAGTCACCCTAAACGCCCGCCATCACACCAACGCTTAAACTTCCTCTGATTGGCTCCACACTTTTACTTCATTCTTACGTCAACATCAAGTAATTGGTAGGTAATTGATTAACTCCCCAGTATGGGTTAAGACTAGTTACACTCTTTATTGATGTTGTTAATTGTGTTTGTATAAGATCTCGAGTCCATGGAAATAATTAGAATTTGTACGCCAGGAATCAGTCAATTGTGTGTTTATAAATTTCATCTAATAATTATATCAACAAGATCAACAAGTAATTTCGTTATATTTAATTATAATATATTTAACTTTTTATTATCAAAGTTTATGAAATGTTGACAATAATTAATTGTTTGAAATATAATACGAATGATTTGCAGTGATGGAAGGTAATTGAGTATTTTTTTTGTAATAATCATGTAAATGTGTGATATGATGTAATTTTATAGTATACTGTAATTTTATATATTATTTATTGAAATTATCTAAGGTGGAAAGTTACAGAATAAATCATAAAGTATTATTATTATTTATTACATGACTGAACGAAAAAAATTCCTCAACTAACAATTTATTTCATCAATAGTATAATAAGAATAGATAAATAAATTCAATATTTTAAATGTATTAATAAATTGGATAACGAAATAATATACACATAAAATAATATATAATAAGAAAGTTTAATTTGTGTACAGTAAAATATAATTCCTATAGTAATCTCTATATTAGTTATATACTTCATAGACAAGTTTCAAGACTAACCGTAATTCCTTTTCCTTGTCACCTAAATAAAGATAGATAACTTATAATTTTAATACTCGATGCTTACTATAATCTAACTCTAACTGCGCAATTAAAGACCTTACTTAATATTGCGCAGTTATACATTATGCATTATACGTCAAATTATACACCTTTTAACTCTTTACAGAATAAGTAATGAAAACGACGAATATTTTTTTATAGCAGACTGATATATTTTTTGTCAGATTTGTTCAATGTCTTTTTTTTTTACCATAGTTGTGAACATAAGGACATTAGTACTTCCTTGTGGCTTAGTGTTACAAGGGCGGCCGTGTTATCAGTACGTGTGTGTGTGTGTGTGTGTGTGATAGATAGATAGATAGATAGAATGAAAAGGGGAGAGAGAGTTGTTTGGACAGATAAAGACGTAGATAAATAAAGAAAAAAAGATAGAGAGAAAGAGAGAGGAGGGGGGGGGGGTGTTATCTCAAGCAAGTCGATCTTTTCACTGCCGGTACAAGTTTTATGGATGTTGTACCTCTGTCGCCCCGTCTCTGATTGGTCAACTAATCCCAGCTTTGTGATTGGTTGTGTGGATTAATGGCCTACTGATCCCAGCTTTGTGATTGGTTGTGTGGAGTAATGGCCTACTAATCCCAACTTTGTGATTGGTTGTGTGGAGTAATGGCCTACTAATCCCAACTTTGTGATTGGTTGTGTGGATAAATGGCCAACTAATCCCAGCTTTGTGATTGGTTGTGTGGATTAATGGCCTACTAATCCCAGCTTTGTGATTGGTTGATTGGACTAACTAACCCTGATATGGCCTCATTATCACTCTACTAGATACGAGAACATGAAGGCCATTATAAGTTCTTTGTCCTTGAGTGTGACTTTTGAGTCCCTCCTGTTGAACACTCAGCACTGTTCTATCTCTGGGTGTTCTTGAACACCCAGAGAGAGAACACTTATCAAAATTCTTCACTTGACAACATATCTCTCATGTGTTCATTAATATTCACCTCTTTTTCAGTTGTATGTTCACCCTGTAGAACATTCCAAAATGAACAGTTCTCTTGGTGCTTACGTTGTGGAACTCCCATAATGGACCCCCCAGACCTAATAGCCCTGAACATTAATGGTTAAGCTTAGTCTGGCTTGGGTTCTTTGTTAAGCCCCAACACAAATGATCTGGCTTGGGTTGCACTAATGATCTGGCTTGAGTTACACTAATGATCTGGCTTGAGTTGCACTAATGATCTGGCTTGAGTTACACTAATGATCTGGCTTGGGTTGCATTAATGATCTGGCTTGGGTTATGCTAATGATCTGGCTTGGGTTGCACTAATGATCTGGCTTGAGTTACTCTAATGATCTGGCTTGAGTTCCTCTTAGTACGTGCATTCGGGAGTCTGTATATGTGTAACCCTATTCACGTCGATCTGGCCGGAAGGAACCTTGGGTCTATGTTATAGTTAATTGGATGTGTCAGAGCTAACCCGAGACCTCACACCTTCACTTTCCCAGCGTGATTACAGTAGCAAAAGCTGTACATTGCTAAGAAGATGCGTTCTTAAACACGACGTAGGCGAAGATTATTTCTGCCATGTTGCTTTTGATATTGGCAGTAATGTTTGTGTTTTAAGTCAGAATCATCCAATTTTTTTTGGACATGAGATACTAGCCCGTAAGACACTTAAGTCTAGGACCCTTGTAGTTGATGAAAACCCTACGGTTGTATAGTCCCCAGCTTAGTGTCTACACATATGTTTATAACATGGTTAGGCTTATGTATAGGATGTTTATCTTCGAATTTAGTTAGTCCTCGCGGATCTCGGAGGGCAGGTGACCGAGCGATATAATGGCCCATGTTTCATAAACATAAAAATTATATAAATGGGTTAATTACATTTGATTTACATACAGAGTCATCCCCTGTAACTTTCCACTGGCTATGAGGTGACATGTTCAATGCACGTGATAAGGTGTGCCCACGGGAAGCTGCATCATACTATGCTGAGTAAAGGCATAAAGTAGCCAGCTCCTGTCCACCTAAAGAGGGCAGTAGTTTG